TCCACAACTCCTGCACCCCCGCTGGATTCGAACCCAGGACTTTCGGTATTGTGAGCGAACGCCCTAACAACTGAAGAGTTAGTTAGTTATTGAAACAATTTATTAAATCTAGAACCATTTTTCATCGAAAAATTCACTGAACTATTTTAATTTGTTTGTATCAATTTAGAATGTCCTTTTGACTTGTTTCTTTTTTTTTTAAAAAAAAACTCTTTCCTAACATGAATTAGCGTCAATCATAAAAAAATTTTATTAAATTTATAACGAACAGTGTAAATTCGGTCAAATATTAATATGTTATTGAACACAATAACATAATAACATTTTTTTTAAATCAAGGGACTGAGAATTGTTTCATGAAAGAAAAAAAATGTTAAACAAAATTTGATAAATCAAACTTCTTTCCTGTTTGTTGGAATAATTTGATAAATATATATATCTACTAAATAGGCTACAATGGGTTAATGGTCATTAGCAAGTTCTATTCTAATGTAATGACGATTGGATATATACAAAGACAAATGAAATATGGTTCAACGGAACTCGATGAAAGAAAAATTCCATCTGTCACTGATGAAAAAATTAGTTTATTGTGTATAATAATAATAATGAGAAAAAAATAGGATGTCAACCTTGAACTTTTGCTTTTCATTTCACAAATATTTATCTTTTTGTTTTTGAAACATACTTTTAAAAATTCAAAGGCCATGTACATATTTATAAATATATATATATATATATATATATATATATATATATATATATATATATATATATATATATATATATTGAAACCATGAATCGATCAATGTTAGACCACCATTAGAAAGTCACCAGCACTGGACGGCCGTTTCGTCCTGGCATGGGACTCACCAGTAGTGCACATTCACAACTCCTGCACCCCGCAGGGTTCGAACCCAGGACTTCCGGTATTGTGCGCGAGTCGTGAATGCGCACTGCTGAGGAGTCCCATACCAGTACGAAACGGCCGGCCAGTGCATCCAGGTTTCTAATGGTGGTCTAATATCGATCGATTCATTGTTTCAAAAATGTGTAACTTAACAATCTTCACAACCCCTGTAATATATATATATATAACTGGTCTTTCTATCTTACACTCGACGAATACAGAAGGTGGAGACAGTTATTGTAGTATCAGCTCATGAAGTAGGAGTCCTGAACATAAAAATCAATATACTAAGATACTACTACACACCGAGCATCAACTAGTTCATATTTGATGGAGAAGCTTTGGAAGATGCGGAAACTTCCACATCCCTGAACAGGATCACTGATAATCAAAGAGGATCTGATGTAAATATGAAGGCATGGATGAACGAAACAACAGCCACATTTCCATAATCGGAGTATATTTGAAACTTAAAACAGTTAACTGTCAAGAAACACTGAAATTTGGAATTTTCAATACGAACGTTAAGGAAGCTCTACTGTATGGAGATGAAACTGGGGGATTTAACGAACCCATTACCGAAATGATTCAAATAACTGCAAAAGCTCTTCCACACAAAATACTCCTGACCCATTGGCCAAAACAATCATTATTCATCTATTCCGGCGGAGAACAAACTAGGTTCCATACGATAAAGAAATGAAAAAAACTACTTTGATGATGGATAGGACATGTACTGTAAAAATCATTAAACAGCAGAACAAAGCAAGCCTCACATTATAATTCTCAAGGCAAAGTGAGAAAGAAGAAGACTTAAAGACACATTTCACCGGAAATCAGAGGTTGACATCCAAAGAATGAATAGGACTCGGAAAAAAATAGAAAAGACAGACTAGAACAAAGTTTGCTGGAGATATATGGTCAGTTATATATAGATGAAAGATTCGCACACATTTTGAATACTAAGAATAACAAATTATGTTTCGTGATGAGGTATATAAATACTCTCTGGATGATTCGTTCTCATCAAACATTTGGATCTAATCCTCAAAACTAACAGATTTCTAATCTTGATAAATTCAACCTCAGACAATCAAGTCATTCATGGAAGTATTCTTAAACGATTGGTGAATTCGCTTGTTCGATATCCTCTTTTATTAGAATACGTATATGCTCAGTCAAATTTGTGTGTATATATTAGCTAGTACCGGAAATGATGAAAGAAACTATTTAAGAATCTTTACCAAAGATTTAAAAACTGTGCTGCAAAAACCATCATCAAAATTGTACAGGTGTTTATTACCAGTTGTCTGCGCACGATACTGTGGATCTGTTGGCCAATCACCATCGGCAAGAATCTACTGTGAGAGAGGACAAACCACCCACCAATTGATGACGAAATTAGGAGAAGGCGCACAGTTTGAATATTACCCTATCGCGTCACCAGGTAAACCCCGACTTGAAACTCTCAAGGCCAAAAGAAAAAAGATAGACCATGGAACACACTACGCCGACGATTTAAGGCAGACGTGAAAAGAATGAACAACAGTTTGGTAGGTTGGGAAATGCTGGTCATCGGTCTATGTTCCTTCAAGGGTAACAAGCGCAATTAATTACGTAGGTACGTAAGCTTGCTGTGCCTACATTCTAGTTCTGTTCTTCTCATAGACCATCAACCATTACCAGACTCTCCAAACACTACATCACACTATATCCACTTAACTGCTTAGTCTTAATGGTCATTCATCAACCAGAAGAAGTATAACAATACAATAATTAAAAAAAATACTCAAATATTCTTCTTCGCAACTCATGATAAAGTTGACCATCTGATTGTATTTATCAAAAGAACATAATTACAATCCCATAAGGTTAGTTGGTTAGATAAGCGTGCGATGAACTCCAAATCTCACGATCTGTTTTCTGTTTACAAATCAATAACTCCAATTTATCAAACATCAAAGACAAAAAGAGATCTTATTTGTAAATGACCTTAAATGAGAACAAAAAAGCAGAAGAAAATCGCTTGCCAAAACAAATTTCAACAACTGTCATTCTTTATTCTGTAAAATATGCCGTTCTGGTTGAATTTCACCTTATTACTTATGAAGATAAACGAAAATGGAAATCAATAGTTAGTTCATTGGAATGTTTGACCAGCTGTTGATAGTTTAACTAAAATATCCGTATAGTATAAACTTTTCATGGTGAAGATAGAGTTTTTTTATAGGTTATAACACAGACGGATCTTAGTTAAACCTCCAGTCGAAAAACTAAGATGCATTGATCAGCTGTTTTGTACTAGTATGAGACTCATCAACAGTGCACATTCTTAAACCCATCAATGGACCGATTTCAGAACCTGTGGTTATACACACGAACACCTAGTTTTATGTTAGGTTTCAAACGAATCCATTGATTATGTATGAAAGAGAGCTGAGTTTACCCTTTTTCGTATGTATGTCGGGTTAGTAGAATTGTGATCGGATCATCAGTTAAAAAATAAAATAAAATTCGAGTGGGAAGTATTTTGTCATGCCTTATTACTGATGGCTTGGAAGAAGCAAGTGTATTTTACCAGTTTCCTACTCTAGATACTGTGGATCCATTGGCCAGGAATAATCAGCAACAACCTCCACATTCGAGTAGAGGAAGAAATCGGGAAGAATCCCTGAAGATAGATAGGACACATTTTAAGGAAAAAACCCATTTGTGTTACAGGGCAAGCTATCACTTGGAATCCTCAAGACCAACAGAAAAGAGAGAGACCAAAAAACACATTTCACCAAGAAATGGAGACAGACTCAAGAAGAATAGACGAAAATTGTGTGGAACTAGATAGGAATTCCTACGACAGAGTAGGTTCAAGAATGCTGGTCAGTGGCCAATGGTCGATTGGAGGCGCTATATTCTAAACAGAATTACTCGATTCCTGTTTAATTTTGAATCCATCGGTTATTCTTCGTGCTCTAAGGTTATACTAATGTGATATCCGCCTATCAATTTGTTGATTAGCTCAATACTGCAAAACTCGATTCTAAAACGGAGAACTGCCCAACCATTTACCCAAGAGGTGAATCATCACATGTTAAGAAGTTAATTTGTTCAGAATTCGAAACCAAGCTAGTAAATTTATTGGACTACCTTCTTCAGAGTTTCTTTTTCGAAAAATGAAAGATGATGAAATTCACAATTATTATATTATAGAATAGAAAAATTTCATAGGAGCAATAGTGGTCTCAGTATGTTGAAATTATGGAATATTATAAGTGATATCGTTGAACATCTTTGAATAGCAATCCTTATTGTATTTTATTCAAGGCGTTGATTCCACCTTCATCAAGCAACATTGAAATATAAGTCTGTTAAAAGTTTCCTAACAAATAAAATGTTGGAAACTAATTCCAAAAATTGAACTTAACAGCTCATATTTATAAATTACATAATTCCATAACTATCATTTCAACACGCACATGTTTACTCAACGGAATTTTGTATCCCATCGAAACTATGTTCTGACTGCAAACTAGTAGAATACAATAGCACGAATATAGATACTGCCCTCATTTAAACCAAAAAAAACGAGATTGATTAAATAAAAAAGGTTGTCTGTGACATTTTAAATCTTCCACACATCTTTCCAGCACTTTGGGTGTTTTACATGCATTTAGACGATAGATACTATGTGTTGGAGTGTAATCTCCACTCAAGTTCCGCAATATTAGTTTTATATTCGGCAATATTTGAGTTTCTTCATCCGGTTTGTCATCTGCGCCAAACCTATATGTCCAAGTAAGATACTTAAGAATAACACTAACTGATTCATTTGAAATCTTTGACGGAAGTTAAACTAAAACACTAAAAGCAGCACATTTATTGAACGTTTAACATATTCAATGGGTTTTGAATATGTTCAATGTTTTATCCTTGATATTGCATATATTTGAATGATGCTCTAGAAAATATATCTGTTTATGATACTAAACTTAAAATTTATTAGTAAAAAGTACTATCCTTATGCATTGCAGACTAGTTGTAAAACGCATGAGTGAAAATCTATAGATTTAGAGAAAAACTAAAAAACACTTACTTGAGATATATCATGTTTTTCTAGACGAGTCGATTCTAAGAAAGCGGCTGATCCAAGTCGCCATTGATTTTGATGTGTTATTAAAATTGAACTTGGTGACACATTATTATGAAACAATGATTGACCAATGTGTAAAAATCGTAATAGTTCAGTTAACTAGAATATTGATTAAAACAAAAAAAAGATGACTCGGAAGTTATGTGGCAGATATTTTATTTAAAATGACTAATTTTAACTGTTATAAATGTACAACATACTCAGGTGTCTGAAATGGCGATGTAACTGAGTACAATTTAACGAAACAATTTCATATAGCATAATGTGTAATTCTAGTGGAAGCTGATAAGTAGACATTTCAGCATATATTAATAAATATTAAAAATTTTAGAGTTGAAGCACTTGAAATGTACCACTGAAATTAAGGACATTTGTCAATCGACCCGATATTATCAAAAAATAACCATCAGAATCCATTTGGGGATAGACATCTATTTCAAATGACTATGGAACATCTTTAACATGTGCACATAGGAGTTCATCGGGAATTGATCTCACTAATTATTTAGTTCACAATGAACACTACGACTTAAAGTGTCATGAATTTTGTGTGTATATATGCACGTAAACACGAAATTCTGTCCAGTGTGTTCTGAGACATTCAATTTTAATGAAATTTATTTTCAAACTTTAAAACGGCCAGTTGAACAATTTAAAATACATGTTCAACAATTATTTAGCAAAAGCTTACCATTGATGTGAAAAATCTGCAGATTAAGACCTAACCTAAAGACTATTTTGAACTATTTTTAAACTTTGGTCAGTTTGTAAGTGTTTGAAGTTTTTGATTTTTAGTGTTGAAAATAGCTACCGACCAATCTTCGTAGTCGTACGTGTAGAATCAACAATCGCTTCGATAGTCTCAATTAGTCACAGATGTTTTTAATTCACTTCGGATTAATACTTACATGGTAATCCACAAGGAACACATCATAGTATTTCAAATTCGTTTGAAAACTGCAATCCCAACAGTGACATTTTGACTAAAACGTCAACCCAAACACTTCATACACTACGCATTATAATGTCAGTTCCATGTAACCACTGTATTACGCAATAGGTCTGAGTGTATGAGTGTGAAAGTAAACACTGCTAAACAACGATATTGTCTCAAATAAGACAAAATGGTCATCTAATATTCTACCGTTATGTATAACATTTTTAGTTAAACTACTTATTTTCCAGTTTGACAAAAACTTGGAAAATTTTCACATCATTCTATTAGACAAAATCTTCTTTTTTTTCAAGTGGAATAAATATATATATTTAGAATAATTTGCAAAAAAAAATAGACAAAAACACAACAATCATACACAATCATAAACTAAACTGACTATCCATCGTTTTTATATTTAAATTTCCCCAGTTTTTTTTTCTCTTCTAAAAAAAAACGTTTTATGTATTAAAACATTTCCTGAATACAAAATTCAATAAATCCATGCAATCCAATTTAAATGTTTGTCACTTCTGTGTTGTGATTAATGTTGTCCTCGTCAAGTATAATTGATACATTTATACTGTTTGTGTGTGAAGTAAAACATCTCGTTTTAAGTTTCACTTTTTTCTTTCTGTACAAAACTAAACTAAACTTTTTATATTTTTTGACAAATCAATATGCAAACTACAGTTCGCAACCGAAAAATGGGATTCAAATGAGATAACTGTAAGTACGTGGATAATTTTTACTGATCTGGAGAAGCATGGTTTCGATTCAATGATCAATTTCTGGTCTACAACTTACATTCGAAACATAATTTGACTGATCAGTCATCAAAACAATTAGAAGCAATTTCTTAAACATTGTTCCCCTTTAGTGATGTTGAATAAAACACAATATTCACTTATGTACAAGTGAATGCAAGTGTTTAAAGTGTATTAAAGAGATAGTTTTTTAAAAAAAGACTATATATAATTCTGGAGCCAGTTTACAACATATGAGCTCAGAATCTACATAAATCAAAGCCATTTAGTAACAACAGTGCAACTGTTTGTTGTATATTTGGAGTAACAGCAGCTCTGCTGTAGCTAAAGTTTGTTGTGCAACGTGCGTTCAATGGGTTTCACTGATGATTCTAAGTACCTGCAGCTTGGGTCTTTTCATTCCTGCAGCAACTTGGGTGACTCTTCTGGTCTCCTTAATTAAAGGTTGCTCCGGTTGGCAGATGAAAGGCGTCGGCCTCGTGACTTCCGAAGTAATCAAACCAGTTAGGATTTAGTGGTATTAACAAGTTTATTGATTTCTCAAGGTATATTATTCACTGTTTCCCAGATTACTCCAATGAGACAAGTTTAAAACATAAACACTTTATTGTATTCTTTGTAGAACTGGAAAAACCCGTTTGTGCACCGACTCAAACAAACAGCCAATAAAAACAGATAACAATCTACACAAGTAGTTATATACACTAACATATCTATCAGCAGCATATCACTTACTTGATAAATTCCGAGTTTTCGATCCATATCAGTGAATCTGAATGTCTTTTTTTAATTGTAAAAATAGCAAAACAACATACAAATATGAAACATTTAAATATTGTTTAAATTAATCATAATGATATGTTTACGCATTTTCAAATATCAAAGTTACTTCTTGTCATCAACTATCCATGATATTGAAAAGGTTTGTCACCATTTCGGCTCCGCCTCTTAGTGAAAAAATCACTTGCATTTTCATAATAATATGCTAGGCATTGAGTCATGTTATAGAAAGCAACACTGAGATACAGGCACATACAGGTTTTTACATCTCATTTATAACGAAACAAATGTACTGTATTCCACTTACTGGGCAATTATCCATCTATCCATTCTATATGGTTAAATATCGAAGAAGACGTATATTTTTCATGATATAACAAAGAATATTTAATTCAAAATAATATTCATTCGGCATTTGTCCATTTCTTACAGCAATAATTTCAGCATGTAATACATTGTTCTTGAAAACTATTTCAGAAGATTTATTATTTCAAACTCTAGTGTCTTTTGTGATTAATTCATGGATTTAATTAATTATATCGGTGAAGAGTGTAATTGTTTGTTTTACAGTTAGTTATTGAATTATTAAACAGGTACAGTTATTCAATGTCTTACAAACTGATGAATAATCGGTCCGTGATCGAAGTCAACTTAAGTTTTTTTCGTTCAGGATTTTCAAAAAAATTCCTACTTCATTTGTTACACAGGATAGAATAACTATAAAAATCCTCCAACTAAAAAATACCTCCATCTTTTCACAACAGTATCCATTAAAGTCATTAGTCTGTCAGTTTTATTGTACATAAAGATGGATTCAATCGAAATTATCTTGGTTAAGAGTTGTTTTCCCCTGTATTTTCTATCAAATGTTGAAGAAAATAATGATTATTTAAAGCAAGCTATTCAACTGACCAAGAGTTATTATATGTAATAAATTGGATGCTGCTTCATTGGGGGTAAAGTTTAGACTCTTAGCGCGAGTTGTTAATAATTAAGACTCTTTACATCACTAATACAGTTTGGGATGTTTATTGTTGAGAAGCCCTGGCACTTGAAGACAATATAGGTTTTTAGTTTAGTTTTGCTTGTTATTGGTTGCCTAACAAAAGTCATTTCATCAGTATAAAACTGTGAAATCATCCTAAACCTGCTGTATATACAAATCTTAAAAATTTTTTATGATGAGATGATTAAATCGAAAGACTTATGACATATTTTCGAATTCCCCGGGGAAAATATGAAATTTGTTATACACAGAAAACTATCTTCACACAGTGAACAAAGTGTAGTGAAAATGTGTATACGAAAGTGACCCGTTTTTTAAGCAGAATCTTTCAGTTAGATGATACAGTTTGACTTTTTAATACGAATTTTACATTGAAGATAAGGTGATTAATAAAAATAAGTTGATTGATATGCTCGTCAGTTGATATGCTTGAAATTATTACGAGTTCACTTTACTCGGTAAACGGCACGAAGACAAATGGTGCAGTGACACGACAGGCTATTCTAATCCATTTGTTCCCATGCCCGCCTAACCAGATCAAGATGTCTTGATAAGGTGTAGAAAGTGTATTCTACAAGCACCCAGAAAATATGAGGTTTCAAAGCACACAAGTAGAGTTTATTTATACATGACAGAAACGTTCTTAGGAGAGCCAAGCGTACTAAAATAATCCATCAACCAATAACAGTCAAGGATTTTCCGAGTGTGAAATGCAATCTCAAGGTCAACTGAGCAGCTAATGCGCGAAAACATAAGAAAATCCAAAATGAGGACTTTTTCCAAATGAATTCCGGGGATCTTATATGCACAACAATATTTTACAAAGAAAATAAAACTGTTCATTGTTACGTATTCCAATTTTAGTGTAACTTTATCTCGTTTAAAAAAAAAACAAATGACCTTATTTACATTTGAACATGAACAACAAACAACACATGGAATATCTTTATAATAAATGATATTGTTTTTGTTTAAAATAATGTCACGTTACAAAAAGATTACGATAAGCCTAGAAATAAACCTAATTTCATGTGTACAACATGTAAACTGATAACCAATATATTTTAGGTTCATATAAATATGAAACAGATCATTTTATATGCTAATAATGATTTTGCATAATCTTCAATTGATGATAAACGTGACCCTTTACGAATTTAATGTCCGCGTAACTGAATACTTGATTAGTATTAGTATCATTATTATCAGTATTATTATTATTCTTCCCTTTCGAATCATTTAGCTTATTTATTTGTCATTTTGTGTTTACAGTTGAAGGAGAAATAGTTTTTATTCCTTTGTACACTATATAAACACTCTTTTGTTGTTCAGCATAACATATGCTAAATATTTTTTTTGACCTAATCTACAAATTATCTTTCTCATTTATTGTAGAGAAACAAAAAAATCTTATCACTTAGAAAACAACAGTAAATTTATTCTGTAAAGAAACGATTTTAAACTAATTCACGTGAACTCAAATCCTCTTCTTAGTGGAATATTTTAAAAAAATGCAAGTTTTTAGCATACAATAATGAACTAGTTCATTGTTCAATTATCAGTGATAGACAGTTATTATTCAATGCTTTCTATGTGGGTTTTAGTGATATATCTTCGAATAATTGACTATACAAGTTGTGATCTCTTAACAACTTTGTAAAAAAATCAAATTAGAGCCTAGGATTATCAGTCAGTTAGGTACAACGTAGAACTTTGTACGTACATACATCAGTTCAAGTTGCCATACAACATTAACACACTGAGATCGAATTGTGAACTCAAATAGCATAGGAGTAGAGGTGGTAGAAGTATTAGTGGTAATCAAAAACATTAGTGATCGAAGATACCATTACTGAAGTATATCTTAGAGGAATCAATTTCATTATGCAAGAAGGAGAGAAAAAAGTCATCCTGAAGATTTCAGAAGATTAAAACTTGAGAGAAGACAAAGAATGGATGGGTCTGCGTCTACGCAAATGATTTGAGCCATGTCTTTCAAGGTCTCATTATCGATTACTGTCATATCGCTAACCTCAACCAGGCAGTCTACACCTACCAACATGGTTCAGTCTACTTGTCAGTGACTTCATGGATTTGTGCCATATTTTGATTTGGCCAACTATAGTTTTCTTCCAATATACCCCTACACTAAGCATCGTCGCTCGCCAAAGACGTCGCTGGCCGGTCATTCGTAATATATGCTCCATCCACCTTTTTTATTAGGACAATATGAAGTCAAATAAATGATTGTACTCGGAACCTGTAGGTGCATCTTGGAAACTCAGTACACATCGGTGTTGCGAGATTCTAAAATCCTAGCTAAGGCTACATGTCATCCTATTCGACACAAGGTTCGAGCAACAAAAGCTCCAACATTTATTTTAGAGCAGGGTTTCAAGAGAACAAGAATTACGTTTCTTGAACTCAAAACGGTTGCATCAGCGGCGCGAGGTAATAAAGTAATCGAAGAAGGGTTGATCTTAAAGATAAGTGAGTTAATAAGAGGTTTTGAAAGGATTTCATTCTGATCAATTTGGTCTATTTTAGAAAGTTTCTAAAAAAATTTTCATGTTCTTCGAACCTCAGGAAGAAATCTACTCGAGATGTATAAAGTACTATGAGGCATATATTACTATGTTTCGAAATAGGTATATATTAATTATGCAATACGTTTTAGAGTTATAAAACTTAGAGTAAAAATCGTATACTCTACAGGACTAATAAAATGTTTATACCGGGAATTCTGTAATTTTTTCCATTTAAAACTATTTCTTATGTCAATTCATACTGTCTCATATCAATTTGAGCGGCAAAAATACATTATATCAAGAAATACTGTTTATATATTCAAAAACAAATATAAATTCATTACTTTAAGATTTTGTATGACGAATTGTTGTAGCCTGGTATGATTGCCGAATATATTGGCCAAACTGGAGAGTACACGTTCACTTGCAAATGATAATGTTTCACTGTTTCAAATTGTAAAGAAATTATTTCAAAAGAACAGAGTTACGATGAGGAGATGACAATAACAGTAGAAATGATAAAAACAAATAACGCTTTTATTGATCGGTACATGGATTCACATTTTCCTGGTAAACTATTGTGATCAATATTCAAACAATCTCTGCCGCCTTCAAGTGACTTTTTATAAGTAATTTCTGCATCATTATAAAGATGGGAAAAATAATAATGGTCAACAAACCGTGAAATTACACTGGTTATTAGAAATGCAATGACTTAATTTGCAGCGTAAGAATATGCGAACAACATTTTCCGATATGAAATGGATGATTCCTATTTCAGCTATTCTCAGTGGGTTTTTTCTTCATGGCTTCCTTAACAAGTATGTTTGTGTGTTTGTGTAAATCAACCATTGAAGCACAAACAATTACAAAAATCTCTTATTTAATTAGAAGTGAAGGAGACCACTGTGAATTTTACCATAGAAAAATATTACCAGAATTAGGAAAAAATAAATATTGGTAAATGATTTGTTAACTGTCTATCAGTTACATATTGTTTAGTGGCCTACGATACGACTGCATACATTTGAATATACTATGATATAAATCTCCTTTTCAATTTCCGTTCAGGCGAACCCCATTCATGCAACACTGGTAGTAAGAAGCTAAATACGGATTCGATTGGATGAGCTTATTAAAACCAATAGTTCATCAATTCGTTAAAGCATGCAGACATGAGAATGAAAAGCGTACAAGCACAGCGGAACAAAGTGGAGAAGACAAATGAGCCAGCTTTGTGCATCGAAACGTGACTAAGCATTTATAATCAGATAAAAGTAAGCGTAGCATGCGTTACATGAAGTAATCGGTACAAACACATACTCGAATAGAAATAACCAAGATAAAAGTGAATAGATGGCAAGGTCAAAAGACGAGAGAATAGTATCTTGGGCCGAATGGATTGGCTAACTTTGGCCGACGTCTTGGGAGACAGCCCTGTGGGCTTGACATATTAGAGTATACACACAAAAAGTGCTTTAATTTGATTCAAACATATATATGAAATATCAGTGAGTGCTTTCTTCATTTATTTAAAAACTAAAGCTAATCAGTCATCTGCTCTACTCCAAATTCATCGCATTAATGCAATTTATCGCTTTATTAAAGAATAGAATAGAATAGAATTTTTAACTGCAATAGAAAATTTTCATATGTCAATTAACGTAGATCATATTCATGTTTCAATTTCATAAATGTTTTTTTTAATAGTTCATTTGTCTGTCAATCAAGCGTAATGTAAAAATGTTTTATATCCATTTTAGATGAGGTCACTACTCTCTCTCTCTCTCTCTCTATTCACTATCATCTATTGAATACTTGAATTTGAAGAATAAACACGTGCTTCTAGTAGGATGTTAACACCAATGTAACTCAGCTGTATAAATTTATAGATTGCAATTAACCAAATCAAAAATTAATTCATTTGCTTTATTTATTACAACACTCTAATTGTACAAATTTAACCGACTAACACATTCGCATCTCTTTTCCATCTAACTGTTTTATTTTGCATTAAGTAGTAGTGACATTAAAAGCATCCTGTACATTTTATGGTTATTAGGTACTGGTATTATTACAGTTATCATCCTTTTATTGCTTTATTTTTTTCTCCCTTGATTGTCATAAATATGCTGTGATGTTGAAAATTTCTCATTACCTAACAGCATTGCTACTAGTAATAAGAGCATTTTCACATTTACATTATTGTAAATAAGTTCACGACTAATAAAATCATAAGTGTGTATTCAATTGAACTGTAACGTAACACTGAATTATAACATCACTGAATAGCACAGTGCAAAAAGCTCCAAAATCTTGATAATCTCTTCATGTTCGTCGAATCAGTCGAGACTCATCAGCTTAGTGGATATAAAACATTGTATGTTAGGAAGAATAAAAACGTTTGTGAGTTTCAATCCCAGTGATAGCAGTAGTATACAGAAGCATATTGAATAACACACTACATCGAGGTTATCCAGTAGGGATCGAACTTTTCAACCCTAAACATCAATAACTGGAAATTACAAGTGGTTACATATACTCATTTATTATGTTCTCATAAAAATTGTGACATACATATTCACGACTCGTGAACCTCGCAGGATTCGAACCCAGACCTTCGGTCTTGCCCGTGAACGACCAACCTCTGGACCACTGAGCTGGTATCTGGTGACCAGTTAGTCTTAGTTATATTGTCCCGAGGTTAGGCTTTAGCGCGCAAGACCGAAGGTCATGGGTTTGAATCCTGCGAGGTGCAGGAGTCGTGGATGCGCACTGCTAATGCGTCCCATACTCAGGTCTAAAATCGATCGATTCATGAATTCAATTGCGTAACTTAACAATCTTCACAACCCAGTCATGAAATATATATCCATCATAACTTCCATTTAACAAGTTAACAATGTTACCGGTTCATGTATGAGATTGACAAATAACGTATTATTTATTAATCAGTTAGCGTGTATGCAAAAGGACGATATGGGAAATCGAAAAAAAATTCATTTGCCATTCTGTGACACTTCAGTATTATCGTAACTCTAAGCACGAAAATCATTAATTCCATCAGTTATATTTTGGCAATTTTTTTTCTAGATCATATGTATTACACTCATTTCAAACATTTGTTTTACTCAACAATACTTTCGAAAAAAGTAGCACGCAAGAAATCACATGATTCTTCTTTTTGAAACTTTCCCTGGATCTCGATTTACAGTCGATCAACTTTAGTTTTTTTTTAAGAAAACGAACTTGGAAGTTTAAAAAAATGTCAAAACACCGATTTCACCACAGTTTTAGTAGTAGTAGTAGAGTGGTGTGCGCTACTTACAAGTAGTATATGACGCGAGTGTAAACGTAATGTCTGACAGCAGAAGATGGGGGAAGATCAAGAAAGGAAGAGTGGGAACACAATGGAACTTGTATGAAACGCATGAATAGTGAAATGTCAGACAATCGATTGATGATGGATTGAAGATTTGCAAATTTACGGTTACGATATTGTTTTCCTATTTTACTGAGTAATTCCGTAATTTTCGTTAAATACAATTCGGTTGCCCCCCACCAGTGTTCTCCTTCACTACAGTTGTAGTAGTAGTAGTAGTAGTGTGAGTATTAGTAGTATTAGTATTAGTAGTAGTAGTAGTAGTAGTAGTAATAGTAAGAATCATGAAATCATCAAACCAAAAGTGAAACAAAAGAAGAATTACTATAGTTTAAGAGAATTGAATCTAGAATATACTACCCATTCAACTAAGAACAGTTAGTGCGCTTTATTTAAATCCATCATTTTTCTCTGGTTTACGCGTTTTTATTTCAATTTTGCAAAACAATAACAGATTGATATGATGTGAAATAAATTCAGCAACAGCACAGTCTAACTAAAAAAAATTATAGATGACCAAATAGACAGTGACAGTTAGACAGAGAGAGAGAGAGATTATTTGAGCATAAAAAAAACTCGTTGAAGAGTCAGTCATTGGCAATCAACCATAAATAATCAAAGCAAAATGATGATAAAAAAAAGAAATTAATTTGTGTTGTTGAAGACTTTATTTTTATATTACCGTCAATATATATGGTATACAATCTATACTTAGTTCCAAGTGCATTCAGTTGGCATAAACAGGTTATCTAACAAATTCGTAATACTAATAATATATGAATTGAAAGTCATATAAACTCTGCCCAAAAGGTTGACACTGCAGAAAGAAAAGAATGTCGTGGCTAACTCGGTTAATAAATAGAATAAATTTTGCTTCAGGTGATTATTTATGAGGTTTAAACAAATCAATCAAAATTTTTTATGTTTGATTAAAGAATTCAATTTATTTTAGAATATGCTTTCATAAAAACACAAAATCTGGAGTTATTAACCTAAGAAATATTTATCACTGAATATACTAATCATAATCTTTGTCATTTAGTGATATGGAGATGGTAGTTTCACCTTGAAATCATAAATCAGTCATTGTTAGACCAGCATTAGGAACCATCTCTATAACACTAAATAAAAAACTGTACATCGTGCTCGCTAAAGACTATCATCGTGAGGAAATTCTCAGAGTTCTAGTGAGAAGCAGTGATCAGTTGAATTCAACCCTGTTCAGTGTAGGCAATGACAATTGAAGACAATAGGTAGGGTTGCTTTAAATCCTTAGACTGATCAGTGGTAGACAAAAAGCCGTTGGATGCAAGCGCAGTGGTTTTATAGGCTAGGTGTTCGCGCTCAAGACCGAAGGTCATGGGTTCGAATCCTCCTAGTAGAAGTAGTCGTGGATGCTCACTGCTGCTGAGTCCCATACCAGGAAGAAACGGGAATCCAGTGCTTTCAGGTTTCTAGTGGTGGCCTTACAATGATCGATTCATGCTTTCAAGGTATAATCTTTGTTGTTTTAATTTGTCGATCACTAATGATTACCACTAAATATTCTCTAACCCAAATACAGTTATAAGCAGTTAAGAAGAAACCATGATATCTAAATAAATTTACATTTTTCTCACTCAGTTGTTGTTTTGATTAATTTTTCACTAACTCAAAAGTCAAGTAGATTTGAAGTATTCAAATATCTGCGTTACATGACTGACATTCTGTCATGTTGACCTTGTTGATCTTGATTACTGTTCATGATGACACTTAACCTGACATTATAAGCCACATGTGTTTTTTGCAATAACGGCTACTATACAAATCTCTTGATAACTTTCTAATAAGAAATTTTTATTTATTGAAGAATAATCATTTTTAATAAAAACCTATTCATGAACATACCTTGTTTCTTCTATTGGATGTAAAACATGCAACATATTGGGATGATGAAGTTGAGTTAATAATCGTACATCACGTTTCAGCACACTTGTGACAATTTCACGCCTTCTAGGCTTGTGAAGTTTGTCTGCAATGGATTTGTCGAATAAAAATACTGAACATGGCTAAAACAAAGAGAATAGAATAAAATCTAATCAAAATACTGTAACAATAATATATTGTTGGTGAAAACTAATGAAAAGTTAAATAGCATTTGCCAAAAGACATACGGGCACTGAGTTTGCCACACAATGACATCAAGGATGAGTGTTAATGAGGAATCATATATGAGATTAGAATAGCTGTTTAATGCTATCTACTGTTCGATGATTACCTAAAAAATATTATTAGGCTCTGATGTAACCTGCACAATTGAATCCTTTTTTCACAAACCCTTCACATCAAATAGAGTTCTAGAATGGTGGAGAAGATTTGTAGCTCAGAGCTGCTCAGAGAACTAAACACCACTACCACCACAGAGTTCGAGAATGTTTGATGAATCAACCATAAGAATGTTCAACTTAAAGGATTTCTCTATTCCTTAATGAGTTTAGAGTTAGAGCTATAGTGACACGTAGAAAACATGTGGAATGATAACACTGTTCAAATTTGTATAACCTCATAAGTATGACGGTCACAAACGTTTTTGTTGAAAATCCGAAAGCGTTGGATATACGACCCCCTTCCAGGAGTGCATATTTATTATTCTATGATCAGATCTCGAACCTAAGTCCTACGTTCTTACACGTGAATACTCAATGTCTAAACCATTAAATTGTGCATTGTTTTACTATATATATATATATATATATATATATATAGGTTATGAAACATTATTTATAATTTGTTGGCACTGAAAACAGATATTCACACAAAAAAATGCGATTATTTCTTACTACATAGATATCTGTCTTTTTTTTTTTATACACAAGAGAATTGTGATGTTATCTTGATACATCATTAAAACAAAATTTTATGTATGTTAACTACATAATTAATGATTGTACGATAAAAAAATTGATGCATAGTAATTTTCCACTGTATTGATCTTATCAAGTTGTTTTACCTCGAGATATATATATATATTATTGAGTTTACGTAATATTCTTTTTTGTTTAAATGTAATAAAGGGAGTAAACATTGGACATTTTATTAAGGATGTCATTTGTTTAAATGAACAGAAATTACTGCCATGTTTGAATTTGATGACTGGTAGAGTAAATTACTTATGTGATGAACATGGATATATGGAATGGTGGTGTAAACAATGTGATTTTATTTGTATTGTATCAAATGAAGTTGACAAGCGAGTAGAAGTGTAGTGCGCGCTACTTATAAGTAGTATATGACGCGAGTAAAAACGTAATGTCTGGCAGCAGAAGATGAAGGAAGATCAAGAGAGGAAGAGCGGGAACACAATGGGATTTGTATGAAACGCATGAACAGTGAAATGTCAGACAATGGATTGATGTATGCAACAGGAACAGTCCAGTTCGATATGATAGATTGATATTTTGCAAATTAACGATTTATGATATGAATAAAATTCGGTTGCCCTCACCTGTGTTCTCCTTCACTACAGAAGGAGTTGTGAGTGCGTACTGTTGATGAGTCCCACACCATGATGAAACGGCTGTCCAGTGCTTTCAGGTTTCTAATGGTAGTCTGATAATGATTTATCCATGATTTTAATGTGAAACTGCCATCTCCATTATACTCTAATGCTAAATTAATTTGAAGGTACTGACTGACAACATCATGTGTTTTATGGTTGTCATTGAGTAGATAAATGAATTTTTTAATTACAAGTGTCACCCGTCGAAAAGTGCAAACAAGCATAAAACCATGGTCTACGAATATTTAGGTATGGTTTCCAACTACGTAGCCTCATAACATGGTGTACGAGATGTTAAATCAATATTGCAATACAGTTAAAAGAGGTTTCGTCAAGAATTAAATAAACATGGCATTTGAATCTACTTGGCAGTTCATAAAAATATTAGTTCTAAAGGAATAAAGTTAGAGCTTGGACGGGTCAGTAATGATGCTGCAGAAATATGATGATTTAGATCCAGCATGCAGCTTTACTTTCCTCATAATTTCAGATTAACTGGCCTGAAGTATAACAAACTAGCATGAAACGTATGTGGAAGGTTTCCTTGTGACTAATTTCACAAGCATGAGCATTGTAAAACTCGTTCTTCTGAAACGAGTTTGTTTATACAAAGTAGATAAATTTACATCAACTGACAAATTCAGTCTTTCAAACATTCACAGAAGTGAGGAGCATTAACAAGTATGTTATGAATTTAGTTATTTGTTCACTATATTCAAACAATTTAACACAACGTTAATGGCTGACTCGTACGTATTTTGTTTACTAGCATGATTGATTATTTTTCATTTATATGCTTAACAGCTTCAAAATCCTAATAAGTTAGCTGAGTAATACTTCACTATTCTAATTAACTAATCAAATGACAGAATGAATTAGTGAATCAGCGTATTTAATTATTTTAAACCATCAGCTAATCGACGTTTTAAATCAGGTGCAACTATTTCACGATTTGATGTGTTCGTCAACTGATATGCTTGCAACTATTACGAGTTAAGCTTACTCGATAAACAGATCAAGAAGTCTTGATAAGGCGTAGAAAATGTATTCTACAAGCACCCAAAAAATACGAGGTCGACAAGCACACGAATTCAGCTTATTTATACATGGTAGAAATGTTCTTAAGAGAGCCATAAAAATAACGCAGTAAAATAATCCATCAACCAATAACAGTCAAGGATTGTCCGAGTGGGAAATATAATCTCAAGGTCAACTGAGCAACTTATGCGCGAAAACACAAAAAATCGAAAATTAGGACTTATTCCAAGTGAGTTCTGGGAATTTAAATTCCTCAACATGAATAAATATTATACTTTACATGTTTCTTGGCATCTATTTATAAACTTTTTAAATTAAGGCGTTACTGTGAAATCTTACTTTCGCCTAATGGATTATGTTATATTTTATAAATAGGTCACAAATCTAGATGTGTTTTAAAAAGTATTTTGCTTTAAAATACAAATATTTATATAACAAGGACATAATTTCTTCTGATCACTATAATGATATTTCACAGAAATCGGTCATTATCAATAGCGACACATTATTTTCAGCATATACCCTAAAAGAAAATTTTGACAAAGATTGTTCTGTTTGCTTTATCTAATTTAATAATATAACAACTCACTGGAGAGGAAAACATATTCATGAACTCTTAATGATCACCATATTCTTTACTCAAATGATAGAATACATGCTGACAATTTCATAAGAATAGGGTAGATAACGTTAAAAATACATTCAAAAGATCCAAGATAGTTAACGTTATTAAAGGCAATCGAACAATCTTGAAAAGCCTACAGATCATGTACATTCTTAATGCTAGTCGATTAAACTGAAATGACTGAATTCTAGCTAGTTTTTTCACATATCAAAGTTATACACTAAAGTTTAACAAGTACAATGTTTTCAACTTCAAACTACCCAATCTATTATCTAATAGATCCCATTAAGTTGACATATCTCGAATGCGACGAATAATTCAACGTGAATTTCACTACTAGCCATTAATTTATTTATTCCTCAAAAAAAAGTGTGATGAAATGGTTAAATCAAAACAGTCTGTACAAAATTCACTTATGCTAATAAATATTGAATAAAATTGAATTAATTTTTGTCAACATTGAAATTTATTTTCAAAATAACATGATACAAAACGTTTAACATGATTTAGGCTAAATATCATTGATACTGTTTTTGTGGCGAAGTTATTCACAAACTAAGTTTTCAGACTGGAGGAAAAGTATTTTCAAATTCTAAAAGACTCTGACGTATCCAATTACTGTAAGTTTCAATAAAGGGCATTAAATTAAAAAAGAGTGCAACTATCTAATCGTTAACATTCAGTATCTTATGTATTTCCACCGTTTATATGATATAATATAAAGAGTAATTTGATTGTTGATTAAAACTCTTTTATTGAAAACTATTCTTCAACATATCACCACTTCACTCAACTTATTCCCGAATCAAAAAACACAAATTAGAAAGAAATGTCAGTGATTTTCAAAACAAACTGCGAATCAATTCGCATTACAAAATATGATTATATATATATATATATATATATATATATATATATATATATATATATATATATATATATATATATATATATACATAGTGAGATATTGTGTTCTCCCTGTTCGGTTTGATTGCCTTTTAAACTACTCCACGATGCACCTAGTTAGGTACTGACTGTGCAAATGTTATCTACCTTAGTCGACGTAAAGTCTTCAATCTCATCAATCCACTAATCATTCATACTTAGTTTCCAGAGCTCAAACTCACCACTGCTCATTCAGTTGTCTTAAAAATATACGAGTAATGGTTCGAAGACCGCTGTGATCAAATATTATGGATATACGTAAATCGTGTGCCTTCAAAAATCGATTTTCTACAAATAGAATGTGAAACACAATGAATTACTATCTATTAAATATGTATGAGTTCTATGCTTGATAGACGAACTCCTGAGCTACACCTCAGATCAATATACGTCAATGATCAAACATTTATGAGATTAATGAACGCAATAAACTACAAACTACTGTTTGTTATTTTTTTCGTTTATTACATGGTTAAAATCATTCCTAATCAAAAAAATAATAAGCTAGCATGCATGAAGAAACACAAATTCAATTTATTTCAATTTATGTCATTGTTGTTGTTGCTGTTTTTATCAATAATCCGCCTTGAACACATTCTTTTAATCAACCATATATTAACAAATGAAACAATCTTCTGATAAAAAAAAATTATATTCTGTTTAGTTGAGAAAACAAACGGTTATGTTTTTCTCTTCATTAATAATAAAATCAATGTAAATGCCATTAAGCAAAAAGAACTGAAAATGGCGGATAGGAATGAGTAATTTCTTTGAATTCATACTTTGTTAACTAAAATCAAAAATTATTTTGACAATTACAAAGTAAATAATTTAGAATGATATTGTGATTGGAATTTTTCGACAAACGTATAAATACTGATAGTATTGACAAGAATAATATT